AAAAAAAAAAAAAAAAAAAAAAAAAAAAAGAACCCACACTCACCCCCACCCCCACCCAAAAAAGAGAAAGTGAAAAGTTTGCTCCTTTCTCACTTGTGTTTTTCCTACACACTTGCTTCAAGGCTCTCACTCTCCTTTCAGTATTTCCTTCTTGCTATTAGATGACACCAATTCTTTCAACTTCAGACAAGCATTTAATTACATACAAATATTTTTTGATCGAGGAGGTCATGCATTTGATGCTGAAGCCAGAGGGCTGTCCTAATGTGTGGCAGGAGAAAGGAAAGAGATGTGACAAAACCCCGTAAGATCCTTAGGCCCATGTTGTCTCACTAGAGCTTTTAGCTTCTTCCTGATATAATCCATCCAAAAAGCACGAAACAACAAGGTGCGGCAAAAACAAGTGAACCACAGAAAGACACAGGTTTCAAGGCTCAATGCTCCATACCCTAACATGGAGACACTTGAAGAAAAATGGCCACAGGGATGAATGCCCATCACCTTGAATCTCCTCCACTGGGTCTCTTCATCTCCATTTGATGCTCTCTCTAATTTTCTGCAATGAAAGCTGCCGTTTCATAGCTGAGCGTTACGCAAGGCTGGGCGGGAGGGGTTCCTGACTATGGGGAAACTTTCTTTTCCCAGTGAATGATGGAGCACAGCGACCACTGTCCCTCCCAGGGCAGACGTTCAAGGTCTTTCTCTCTGGTGTTTTGGAGTCTGCTGCTGAGTGCGGGGCCTGGGCCGCGGGGGCAATGCTTGTTGTTGCACGTTGGGCTGCGGCAGCGGCCGCTGCTGCACGCGCAGCTGCTTCGGGGTAGGCTTGCACGGTGACTGAGGGAGCTCCCGCACCACCATTTCACTGTCCACCTGGCAAACATGCGTCATTCGCTCCTCCTCTGCAATGACAGAAGGACCCAGCAATCAGGCACGTACTCAAGTCTAAGCAGAAGTTGAACAGCCAGGGAAAAATGCTTGGCCCAAGCAAGAAAAAGCCAAACATCGGTCTTACCTGGAAGGCCACTGTCACTCTCATGTGTTCCTGCTACTCCAGTGGAACAACCAAAATCACCTCCGCCTGCGCACCCCGGGCAAACTCAAAAGCTTTTTGGCTGCCTGGCGGAGGTCAAGGTACCCGGGGACATTTGGAGCAGCTCTGCCCTCTCTGTGTTGGGGGAACTGAGTTTGCCAGGGAGGCTCCAGTGGTCACCGATGGACACCCCCAGCCTGAGCTGCTCTGTCCTCTTTTGGAAATGGGCCGCTGAAGGGAAAGTAAGATGTACCCCAGGAAGCAACAGCAAAGCACTCTGCCCTGCCACTGTCCATGCTGGGATTTCCAGGCACCTGGAAGCCAGAAGTCCATTTTGCCAGCGTTACTTTCCCCACACACAGAAGTACATTCATGCCAGCTGACTTTTGATCACTGACTCATCATTTCTGAAATGTCGGTCAGCTTACCTTAGGGATTGAGGGATTTACCTCTTGGGACACTGAAATGGCCTTAAGCACACACCAAACTGTTTCAAAGGGGCTAGTCACCCTCTTACATTAGTTCTCATTTTCCCAGACACCTCTTTTTCTTAATTCTTGCTGAATCCTGACCCAAGAATTGAGGATATGCTATCACTGCACAGCTGAGGGAGTAATGTATCCCACTCAAACAAGAACAGCCATAATGTAAAATAACACTCAGATGGCTACGCTCACACCAGCATTGTGTTCATGAGCTATGGCAAGCCTTCTGAGATGACATCCCGTGGTTGCACTCTGGTGAGCCTTCCCAGAGAACAGGGAAAGAGTTTGCTTATTCGTCATGGTCGTAACTTTGGGGGCAGCAGGAGGGCCATGGCGAGTTACCCACGCTCAGGTGTGGTGAGATTGCACTCCCCTCGGCCATGGGACCCGTCATGCTCACCCTTGTTGTCAGCTTGACCACTGGCACCTTTGAGGTATCAGCTGAGGTTTCCTTCAGGCATTGCCCTCTTTATCTTCACAGACTGTTGTGGCATACAAAGGAGCTTTTACCCCCATTTTCTAACCCGAGAACTGACTCACACAGAGACTAGCTGTTATTCGAGACCACACAGGAAGCCTGCTAGGGTGGGGGCAGGACTCATAAACAAGCCTTTAACACCGAGGTGCTCCCCTGGCTGCAAGTCGGCCTCCCTGCCAGGGCAACGTCCCTCCCGCTTTAGCCTCCCCTTCCAGGTGGGCCAGACAACTCTTCTGGAGTGGCAGCTCGGTATCCTCTGTCCACCCAAACTAGCAGCAATGCCCAGGTTGTAATTCAAGGCAACCTCTCCGCTAAGACTGAGAGCCCACTCTCAGAGAAGACTCTAGCAGAGTATTTCCTATGGTCTTAAAGAGGCATGAATTTTGGACAACAGGTGAAATCTCTGCCCACTCTGAAAACCTCAACTCTTTACAGTGCCCCAAGTTAGACCTCCGGTATTGACAGGCCTCCAAGGACATTGTTTTATAGAGAGGACAAGTCCTATGAGATGCCTGAGGAAACTCACAGAAAAGTTGAGTCCTTCTTGCCCCTTCTCACTATCTATAATGTTTCCAAATGTGACTAATGATTTCAAGGATCTTAATTTTACACCATATAAATTTAATGAAAAAAATCTGCTGACGAGGTATCTCATTGTATGTTTTAGCCCCACAGATGCTCATGACTGGTGGCCTTGGCCGAGCTTTAGAGGAGCAACTCTTCCCCCACGAACAAACAAAAGGGCTTGAGAACAAGAAGTCTTCTGTTCAAAGAATATATCAGAAACTGAGACTGGCAATGCCAGCCAATCTGCCGAGATTCACCATATGCCAAAACCAGGTTCCTGCTCATGCCAAGGCAGAGAGCATGCTCCTGCCCAC